CAATTTATTAAGAAAACCACTGTACAATTTGTGTGTTTATTAATATATTACAAAATGGCTATAATTATTTTAGGTGAATTGGAACAGAGATCCATTGTTACAGCTACTTGTGTTCATTAAGTAGGTAGATGAATGGCTGGACAGCTTTAATGGCAGCACAAAGTTCCTATCTACTAGAAAAGTAAAATGTATGCTGAGTAAAAAATCTGCACATGTAGTATTGGCAAAGGACTTTTGAAATGATTAGAGATTAGCTATTTCTTACATACACCTACCTCTAATAGCCACTCTAAAGGAAGAAAAAAAATTGAATCACAAAAGGGCAGAATTTTAAATCAGGATGCATTGGAAAATAAATTTGGGGACATCAGGTCGTTTTTGGATTTTATAGAGAGATCAATCTCAAGAAAAGTTAATTTATCCTGCAGAACAACCAGTAGTTTAAGTAGGATTTGCTATAACTTTATTAGACATTTTCTTTGATAATAAATTGTAATATAGGTACCAATTATTGTTTCAAATGAAATTGAAAAATAGTTAAATATGAAATTAGATTTTTCATGAGTAAAATGTTATATTCATTCGAACATTGTAAGGTAATCTATAATTAAGGGAATATGGAAAATAGGTATACCCTGGTGGTGTAAGAGAAAGGTAAGGGGCAATGACAAAAAAAATTACAAAAATGTATTTATCTTTAAATAGTGTTTATTATTAATAATATTATTTGCTATGTTTGAAAAGTACCTCCTGCTTCTGAACAGATTGAATAGATTAGACTACTAGTTGGAGAAGGTCCACCTAGTAACCAAATTAGGAGACTAGGAAAACTTTTACATGACTGGGGACACAACAGGAATGCACACACACAAGATACACAAACGAAATAACAGGGGTAAGCCTTCAGCAACGTCCTGTTTAAATGATGATAGTATGTCATCCTTCATTCCCTTTTAGAAGGCATGGCATATGAATATATTGATCTTGATTACTATAAGAGGAGTTAGCAGGGGTCTAGCAGGTTTCGATCCAGTTTACAGGATGGGAACTTACTTGACTCGGGCCTTATACATTTGTGTTGAGTGTATGTGTGTTTCGTTTCCATGGTTTCTATTAAAATAAACAGTCAAAACATATCCATACATTTTTGCGAGACTAACATAAGTGACATTTGTTCAAATGGCACTTATGATAGTCTGGCAAAAAGGTATCGATACTATACTTTATAAAATATTTGTAACATTTGTTTTTAAATATATTATGAATATATAACAACTGTTACTTTCTTTGTAATTTGTCACAAAATGATAGGAGGTACTTTCTAAACGAAGCAATTGTAGTTTGTTTTTCTGTACCTTACAAAAATATAATTTATAGAAAAAGAGTTTGGTGTATTATTTTTCCAAGTTTAAATATTTAATAATCAATAGAATTTTCAAGTTTTTTTTTAGCGAAATTTACAGGAGTAATAAAAACTATGTTCACTGTTTATATTAAACTGATTAAAACTTCCTTTATTAAAATGATTATTTATGTGATAAAAAATTTGATGTTATTGGAAGCTTTTATATTTTTTTAATATACAGTGAAACAATAGTTTTTGTTTCTCCTGTAAATTTGTATAGAAAAACTTTATTTCTGAATCCATGTTTGAATTTCCCGCCCTAAAGCATTTTTAATTTTCCCGCTATTTACTAGTGGCGCCATCATAGACTGGTTGTGGTTACAATCGCCCAAATAACTTTTACCGAACAAAAAAAATACATTGAGTTACACGTCTCGCTGGATTGTCTCTGGTATTATAGTATTCCCGCCAGCGGGACGGTCGTCACATTCTGCAGTGAAAAGCCCGCGTGTGCTGTCGTCGCCATCGCGGCAGCGGTATATTACCGCTTTATGAGAACGGTCCCACGCTGGGGCTACAATCCTACTCTTGAAAAGCGCTTACTTGATATTGCCTGCACACCTTGAACAAAATTACCCTCAGAATCCAATCAGTCGTCCACACTTTTTTTGTACATTTTAAATTGATGTTTATATTTATTTAATTCGTAAATTAGCATAACAGCATCGCGACATTTGCCAACAGCAGCTCTGCCATTTTAATTACAATTCATGTCTCAACCAAGCTTCTTCACCTCGACCTTTTCAGATTTTTTATAGATATCACTTAATTATTGGTTAGAGTTCTTTGTTTCGTGTTGTCTTTTCTAGTAGAGTACACAGACTAGAAAGTAGCTTTCCAGTATAGCTAATTGTCTTGTTTTTCTTCTCCAAATGTAAAGAATATTAGTCTGGATAGACATTTTTTAAGGTTTCTGTTGGTATCAATACTGATAAAGAAAATATATTTTATTTGTATAAATAAAAATTTTCCTAAATTTTCTAACGTAGGCAATGGAATTTTTATTATTAGTTGCGATATTATTCTTATGGTTTTTTATTTTATGTAGATATTGTTTTGTTTATCCAATGTAAGTTTAATGTAATTTTATAGACAACGTTGTCTATAAAATTGACTGCAAAGACTGTAAGAATCATAGTAATTACTCATTTTTTCTTTGGTAATTTGGATTATGAAACTTTAAATACATAAAACAAGTATTAAGCAAATACACTATCCGTCTTTTTCTAATTTTTGACCCATCATCCTTCTTGGTATCCCCTCTTATTCGAAAAAAAAAAACATGTAGGAAAGTTTTCAAGATATCCATATACTGACTCGTTTTTCTTTAGATCACGATATGCTTTATTGCATTTTTGTATATTCTCAAAGCTTTGCCAAAGCTTTCAGAGCCTTCACTCTTTAGAATTTTTTTTTTAAGTACTATTTGACTATTGGCGTATAATTCCAGGCTCCAATTTGCTAGTTTTATATTTTAAATCTTATTTCTATATTATATCTTCAGGTATTTTATGTAATATCTTCAGATCAATAATTAAATTTTGTTTTTCTAAAATATATTAAAAAAAAACAATTAATTGCTAAATATTGTTAAAAATACTTGTGTTAAATGTAGGGGGTTTGGTCTTTGCCTATACATTTAATTTTAACTTATTCCCAAGACTATAGTGGACTTCTTACATTAAAGGTGCTGGTTTTTCATTCGTTATTATTTAAATAAAAAGCCGGCTACAACTAACAACATTGAATTGAAATTCTTTGATCTGTTGTATCACAAAACGAAATATACACTATTTACATACTACACCGAAAAAAAAGGTGTACTATATTCAAGATGAATGATCTTATTTCAATGCTTTGTTGTGTTTTGTATATCCGCAAGTAAAACTCATCTCGATTTGAAATTCTAGTAATACGTGTTCAACAATAGCTAATAAGCCTTGCTTCAAGATTAAAATAAACTTGCCATAACTAAAATACCTCTAACTAAACGAAGAGTATCTATTGCTCAGTTGCAGTATTATGTACATCTTAAATCAAATATACTTACACTTTTTTTTAAATATACTTTATTTATATTCAATAAATAATACCTTGTTCTTAAATCCAATACAACTAAATTTGTTACAATAATAATATGAACTGTTCCAAGAAATGTTACTATTGGCTTTGACATAAATATATTGATTTTGGTTGAATTATTATAGGATAGTTTCATTGAAGAAGTTAATAATCTTGAAATAATAATATAATCTTTCTTTTTAATAGGGTTCTCACTGGTGCCTATCCACCGAAAAACATTTCTCAAAATTGTTTTTAGTTAATGTACCAAATTCCTCTGTCCTCTGAGGTGTCCCACCTATAATTAAAAAAAAATAATTTTATAACTACAAAACCTAAATGGAACATAAAAGTTTGTGCTGCTAAAAAGTCGTATCTACAAAATGAATATTTTAAGTAAATGTGGATAGGTAGATAATTACGTCCTTTTAGACTTCGCAAATAAGTATTGCATATTTTACTAACCTTTTCTTATAATTATAGTAACTATTTTCTAATGCAAATAGGCCTTTATTTTGTGTTATAATAAAATGAAATGTAAGCTTATTGAATTTGTAAGAATCTTGAAATCAGAATTTATGAAATTTCCGATATTTAAGTAACTATTGTAGCTTACAGATGATCTATTTCGTAAATTTCTTGTTCATTTTCATTTAAGTTGCTATTAATGGTTATTGCAGTGTTTGGTACCGCACCTAAATTAAAATTATTATGTTCATAAATTATTCTTTTAACAACCAAAACAAGTTAATCAATAGTAGAAGTAAACATACTTGTTTTTCTTATAAAGTTGTATAATCATATAAGCGATATTCGCTTTTCGTTATTCTAATTTTCAAGTAATCTATTTTAAACTCATACCTAACCATCTAGTGCTTACTATTAGTTTATCAACCAAAACAAGCATCTTAATAGTAATAGTAAAGTTACGAAGCTATGTGACTGTACTCTATTCCCTTTACAGCCCTATTAACAAAGCATCTTTATCTTTTAATATACCCACGTGTAAACATAAAAACGTTATTATAACACAAATTCTCAATGCCATGTGTCAAAACAACTACTTGTTTTGCTAGTACCACAATATACATTGCATTATAAGGAGTTCTAAACACGACGTTCTCCTCAAAGAAACAGTTCTTTGGTTATAATTTAATGCCTGTGCGGTATTAGCTAAAAAAGTAGATCTTTTGCAAAGGAAAACGGTCCCTTATATTATTTTGTGACACATGGCTTCGAAAATTTCTTGTTTTTATATCTACGTCTTGATCACATTTGAGTTTAAAATTATTATCCTTTTTCTTTTAATCTCCCTAAAAACTCTTTTTTATCCACCTTTATTAAATAAAATATATTAACGAATATTTAATTTGTTGTTGATTTATTGAAATCTTATTTATTTAAACTTTATTAGTATTAGTACCGATTCAAAGTGTGATTTAAAAATCACGCTCTTATCTACCAAATACTTTAACTTAATAATAGTATTAAAAAAAATTGTAAAATAATGTGTGACTTTTGTTTTATGTTTCAGAGGTTCGATGAATTTATCTTCGCCTTTTTTTCACTAGAAATGACAATCAAAATGATCGCTATGGGAATTTATGGTAAAGGTTCCTATTTAGCTGACTCATGGAATCGGCTGGACCTATTCATCGTCTTTGCCGGAGCAGTTGAGTATGGTTTACCCAATTTCAACAATATTAACCTATCAGCGGTCAGAACAATCAGGGTATTGAGGCCTTTGCGAGCTATAAATAGGATACCAAGTAAGTAAATAACTAAGTTGTTAATGGTAATAAATTACTCAAAATCAGTCCCACATAAATAAATTTTATTAAAAGTTATATGATAGCCTTTTATGGGCCTCATCATTTTTGTTACACTCATACTTTCTTATATTTCTGTTATTGTTAATTATACTTGGTCACCAAGTTTTTTATAATGTTTATCTTGTCGGATGTTCACATTTTTATAATTTTTATTTTTAGATTTGCCCACAATATTTAGACAATTATGTATTTTTACTGTTTGAAACTCTATTATGTGGAGTTCAATTACGCCATTGTTTATGGTAGTTTCCAAGATCGTATTAGCTTTGATATTAAATTTGATATCCATCTCTATATCTCCACATCTATTTCACGCCGTCCAAAGTTATTGCGATATGTTAAAGATTCAACTTTGTTCCTTTGCCTTTGACATTTGACATGTACCCATTTACATTTTTCTTCAGGACTTTCTTCTTCTAATTTGGAATACTCTTTCATGGTTGAACCAAGTTAGTGTACCGTATATATTTATGTTTGAAATTTTTTAATCAAATTACATTTGTTGGAACTTATGGTATGGTACTTTCGTTACCCCCCACAAATGGATGTGAACTTATAAGATTTTGATAGTCCCTATAACACTTTATTTCTAGCAACTGTTTACCCTTTTTAATCAGGCGCTTTTAATCACATTTATCTTCGAAAAACACGTTTCACAACATTTTAATAATCATTGTAATACTTTTTTATTATCTTGTTCAATTTATTGTTTTTTTAGCAGGTTGTTTCTTGTTTCTTGTAACTACTTTGTCCAAATTGGTGCTCGATATCAACCAGTTACATTTTTATTTTTAATCATTTTGGAGACTTTTTCAGTATTGTATGCGCTTATCACTTATACTTAGGTATGCATTATTGTAATTTTTATTTATACAGTGTGGAACAGCCAAATGGAATAAATTCGATAATAAATGTTCGAAAAAATGCTCGCACACGTCGATTGGTATTTTTAGTTGCGCATTTTTTTTAACAAAAATTTTTTATGCTGGGTGTCATGTAATAGTGGCTAATACCAACTTTCTTATTTTAAATGAAACATACTATATATTTTTCAATTTTTGAATTCTTCAGAAAATTCTAGACATACTTTTATGTCCTACATCTAACTGTTTTGGAAATATTAAATGTTTTCCGATTTATTGCAAAAATTAACATTAATAAAATAAAATAATTTGATTAGAGAAATTCGTTACAACAAACTCAAAAACTAATAAGTAATACTGTTTATTTCTTGCTAATGTAACAAAAAAAAACACATCTCAATGTAGGAGGTGTTCAAAATGCTCGTCTCGAACCTCTTGGCAACATCCTAATCTGAAATAAGAATGTCTTCTAACGTTACTCAATATCTTAGGCGTAACCGATCTAATCGCAAGCGTTACTCGTCTTCTTAAATCAGCTAGGTCGAGAGATTTAGTTTTGTATAGAATGCTTTTGACAGAAGAAAAAGTCTAATGATGTCAGATCAGGGGATTGTGCTGGTTCCATCGATCCTCGCTTCCCTATCCACCGATTGAGGTACTCTATTGAGGTACTGCCGGACATTGAGTTGGTAATGGCGCGGTGTTCCATCTTGTTGAAACCATATCATATTCGCTGAAACTTGTGGGTTTGCTGGATCGGGATATGAGTTTATTAAAGTTGGCACGACATTATTTTGGAGCAGTGCTAAATAATTATCGCCATTTAAATTGCCATCATTAAAAAAAGGGACCTATGATATGATTGCCAACAATTCCTGCCCAAACATTAACCTTTTCAGGGTATTGCGTGTATGTTCTTCTCTCATCCAGTTAGGATTTTACCTAGACACATAGCAGAAATTTTGACTATTAGCATGACCATGAATTGTAAAGGTACACTCATTAGAAAAAAAACATGTTCTAACTGGATCACCATATTATCTAACATAGCTATCATTTGTTAACAAAATTTCGTTCTCCTATCGAAATCGTCTTCCAATTGCTATTACTTTATAGGGATGCATTTTATTTTCTTCTAATGTTCGAATAACCGATGAATGGCTAATATCGAACCTTCGGGCTGCTTGTCGACTAGAAGTATGTGGGTTTTCCTAAAACTCAAGCATTTTATCCAATTTGGTATCATTAATTATTGCATTGGCAGCTATCTGTTTTTGTATCTGTCTTACATGTACAAGCTTGCGAAACTTTTTCTCTATTTTACTAATTGTCCCTTGGGATATATGCGGCAAATTTGGAAATATGTGTGTTATCTCCATAACCAATCATCTGTTGAATTGTTATTTTACACATTTCTGTTAAATGAAGCATTTTTCTGATATGCAGTTAAAAAAATTTAAACGACTATAACACTGACAACTACTGTCATGCAGTCAGATAACAATTTGCCAAGGTCAGGCGTTTTAAACAAAAGTAAACAAAACTATTTAAGTATAGCTTTTTTTATTTCATATCAGTAAAAAGGAACGCTCAAATGGTTTTGCTTACCTTCTCATTATAAGACCTAAATGAGAAATAAGTATTGAGTGTGTTGTAGCGAATTTCTGTATTCAAACAATTTTATTTTGTTTATGTTAATTTTTGCAATAAATCGGAAAACATTTAATATTTTAAGTATCTAAAAATAGAAAAATATACAGGGTGTTGCATTTAAAATAAGAAAGTTACTTTTGGCCACTGTTAAAAAAAAATGCCCAACTAAAAATATCAATCGACTTTTCCGAGCGTTTTTCCGAACACGCCCAAATTTATTTATTACCGATTTTATTTCATTTAACAACAATTTTCTTTTTTACTTATACACCCGATGATTGCCTAAGGCCTAATGCCGAAATTTATTTATGTAAAATCGATTTTGAGTAAATTATTACCTTTAAGATGAACACATTCGAGTAAATGGATTCTCCTTCCTTCAATTAGGTTGTTAATATTAAATTTGTATTAATTTTCTAATGCTATAAATCTCCAAATTTAATTGCCTTTCTGATATCTGACAAATGGTTTGTAATAAGTCATCCCTTCAATAGTAAATTAACAATCCTATTTCTCAAACCATTATGGTGCCTATATGTACATATCTCGATCAGAATAGAGATCCACAAATGATATATTCCTGTTATGTGGCATTTATTGTGTAATTCAACATGTTATACAAAGAGGACGTACATCCTTCATTTACGTGGTTGATTTATGGAGTAGATCAATACGACAGGTGCTAAAATTGAATTATAATATGAATAATTAATGTGTATATTGTAATTTATGTTTGTTGTCGGTATCTACATCGTTTTTCTTTGAAGTGTTACTATTTTTGCCTTTATAATTGACTTGTAATTTTTATCGATTCCACATGACAAACATTTCGTTTCAAGTATTAAATTAGACATTTTTGATTTTAACAGAGTATAGTTAAAACAGAATATAATAAATGGATCACAAAAAGTTTTTCGAAAGTAGGTATTAGAAAAATCACGCCCTATCAAGATTCGGTTTACATATTACTAATAGGAGGGTGTAAAACAAAAAGAAAAGAAACAATAACTCCTTTGTTAATTTACAGTAAAAAGTTTACAATAAAAAAAGTTTTGAGTTAAAGATGAAAGGATTTACAAATGAAATATATTGTAATATTAGTTTAATTTAAAATTGTTTATTTATTTAAATCAGTTTATTTATAACGTACAATTAATTTATATAATACTTAGGAACTATTATAACTTACAATACGACTTCATTTATTACAATTTGTTTTTACTATCCAACACTTCTATTGAAACTTAACGTCAGTCCACAAGCGCTATTTATATAGAAATGTAACATATTTACCAATTATAATATTGGAATATTTGACTGGGGGAAACTAGCCATCAAAGATTCTTTCTTTTTTTTTTAATTTCTAAAACGGGATAATCGGTAGTTAATTTTTGTTGTATTCTGTTCGAAGCGTCAAAGACCTCGTTTCCAAATAACATATTAATTTTCTTACAAATCTAAAAATTCTATAGTTGTTTATTGGACTACTCCATTTTTGATGCATTAAACACTATCAGCTATTTAAAGACTATCAGCACGCCGTAAAAATATGTAAATCAGACAGGTATTTGCTTGTTTGGCAAATATTTGCTACCTTGATATTTACCTTCTTTAAACGGGAAATCTTTGTATTTGCCAAATATATCCTTTTGCACGAATATTTTTCTTAAAATACCTTATAAACATATTCGTCTATATGCTAAATATCCAAAAAGCTCATTTTGGACATGTTTTGTTTTCGTAAAAAAAGATCTTCAATTGTTTTTCCGATATTTTAAATTATATAGGGTGTACCGAGCAAAACTACAAATTATAATTAATTAATTCTCTTTTACTATTTTTCATTGAGGTAATAAAATTGAATCTTTAATATTGAAATATTGAAATAATACCTATTTCATTTCCAATCATACAGGATCATTCAAAAGTTAAATACAAAAAATATTTCGATTCTAACAATTCAATAAAATACATCAGTTTTATTTTATCAAAATTTTAAATAAAAATATTTAGAAATTTTAAAATGATCATATAAAAACAAAGGTTCGATCACGGACGAGTGTAATATATAGGATTTAAGATAGGTTGGTTCAAAATACTGCTGTGTAATGTAAAAGTATCTAAAAATTGAAAAATGTGTCTGGTCATGGATACGAATACCGGATACAAAATTTGACCCACGTTGGGCGCCAAACTGGAACATACGATTCGAAGGGTTTGGCTAACTACTCAATTAGCCAAAAAAATAGCATGTTACAAGTTGGTCCGAGCGACAATTGGGGTATTAACCGCGGATAGCTCTGGTCGGTGATGATGTAGTCCAAAAATTAAAAGTTTATAAAAGGGTGCTTGTATATTTTGCCACGGAATACCCCCTGCTAAAAACCAGCCACCAAAATACTAAATTTGGCTGTTATATAA